CAAAACTGTCATTGATTCTGAAAACTCAAATAGAGAGGATGTCTAGACTTTATTCCCCAAAAGCCTCCTTGTTGCTCAAATGTGGCCTGTAGCTCTCATAAAACACATTTATCCGATGTTATATACACATATTTTTTCTCCTCTCCGAGAGGCATGTTGAACCTGGAGCAGTCGGTCAGTCACTCAGCACCACAATGGGGATAGGACCATAAAAAAGTGATCATCCATACATTCTAGAAAGAAAGATTTCCATCAAAAGGGTGACATGTATACAAGATGAGGTTAACATTAGCAATGAAAATAAAAATAAATTAAGGACATAGGATCTATGCACATGCTCTTCTCTGACCTTTCTTGGAAGAGTTTGTAAGCATTCTAATCTATCAAACCATAAACATCCTGAACAGGCACTTGCTGCCTGCAACAAAGTGGACTTTTTCGCCTAGAGAATCGCCTTGGCAGTCAATTATGGATACCTATGTGCAGGTTACAATAGCTTCTACCCAGTCATAATCCTTTCAAAACATCTCAAGTTTCCTAGGAGTTGCCCCTTTTGCCTTAAAAACCTTAAGGCCTTCCCCTTTGCAGAGTATCCATTTGGTTTTCTTCTGAAATCTATGTTCCCAGGTTGCAATCTCTGAGATCCCAGCTAAATGCAGTCTTCTACAGCTTTGCCTTTTTGGTCCACTATGTAAGTGACATAGAATACAGCACAGAGAGAAAACATAACGGGGATTAGGCAAGCAGTGACACAGAGATTGACCGTGTGTCTCATTAAAGTTTCAGAGAAGGTTGGTGACAAGGAGAAGCAATATTCAAATAGCTAAGAAATTTACAAATTTGAGAAAATACTAGAATTCCAAGCAGGATGAGTAAAGTAAACCATATCTAGACAGACACATCCTGGTGGAATCAGAGAAAAACATTAGAAGGAGCAAAGATGAAGACTCAAAGGACAGTCAGCCAGCACCTGACTCAGCAGCACGGATGGGGATGCTCCTTCACCGGGCACAGTACAATAACTCAATTCCCAGCGTTTACCCAGCTGGTATCTGCAAAGGAGACATAAAATGAAGGTTAGGCAAATGTACAGTGGGGAAATTTGCCACCAGCAGGCTCAACAAGGAATTTTTAAGAGTGGTTTTCAAAATGAAAGAAAACGATCTCTAAGGAAGGTCTCAGATGCCAGAAGCAATACTGAGGAAAGAAATTTGTAAATTCAGGGATAAAAAAATCAATGAGGTAGAAACTAGATATAAATAACATACCTGCATACAGGAAATTGAATGTAAGGAAGCACTCAGCTCCTATTAACAAAGATAATTGTGATTTACAAAAGAAGGAAAAGACTGTTTAGAAGTGAAAATATGAAATTTAAAACTTGCTCTGTAAATATTTATTAGCATTAAATTGCTTAAAGTGTATACCTTAAAATTTAAGTAGCCTCTAAAAGAATACAAACAACATATATTCAAATCTGTAGGGGAAAGAAAGAAAAGTGGGAATTTTAAAGACTTAGTTAATACTAGAGAAGATAGGATATAAGATTTTAAAAAAGGAAGTAAGTACAAAATAAGATTAAAAAATTGAGTGAAAAATACACAGTAAGTGTGGCAGAAATATCCATTTAAATCCAGATATGTAATACTGAATTTAAAACAAGTAGTTTTCAGCACCTAGAAATAGTGAAAGTGAAATGCTAAAAAAAAAAATCACCTGGCAAATCTACATAAAAGTAACATTTAAAAGTCTTTAATATCAACAAAGATCACTATCATTACATAATGATACTTTCTAGTTTCACCAGAAACAAACCTAAGGATCTTACACTTGCATGCTTCTAATAAAAATAACTCAAAATATGTATTGAAAAACTGACAGAACTAAACAAAGAAATTTGGAAGTCAGCTATGATAGGAAAACGATTAAACATACATCTATTAGTAAAAAGCCAAGTGGACAAAAGTTATTAAAGATACAGAATAGTTTTAAGTGAAAGTAACAACTTGAACTTGACTTGTTAGGCACATAAATTATAGAATACATCATATTCTCAAACACATGGCACATTTTTGCAAACAGATTTTCCCAATATTTCAGAAAGCAAAACTCAAATTCACAATAGTTGTTATCACATGAACAGTTTCTCTGATTATAGTACAGTTAGACATTCTTGTCTACAAGGAAAACCCAAGAGAATATCCAGGAATATGATTGAAATTAATGAGACTTTACTAAGCCTACTTACTGAATCTTAGAATAAGTTGATTTCCTACGAAGAGTGTGTTAGTGCAAGAAAATACTACAGAATCACTTTCCAAAGAAAAAGAGTATAGTAACTTGGGATAAAGACAAAAATATGCAAGACTTTTATGAAAAAGACACCCAAAGCATTCGTATGAGAATGTTAAGACCTAAATAAATGGAGACATCCCACTACTGCCAGGAAAAGGAAAACTGACAGTCTCTCCAAGTGATTTTCTGGATTCCATTTAAGTCCTCACAAATGCATCTGTTTATTTTTTTGTATGGTGAGAGCTGGTTCTAAAATTTGTATGGAAAAGCAACAGTGCATGAATAGCAAAAACATAAAGATGGAAAAAGGTGGGAGCTCAGCCTCACAGGACACAGCATCAGAATGCCATGGTATTTAGTGCAGCTTAGGTTTGCCAAAGAGAAAATAGGACAGTGAACGAAATCCAGTCAAGAGCCTGGCAGCTTTCAAAATACATAATTCCGGGCCATGATAATTATGTTGTTCTCAGTCTTTCTTAATTCTGAAAGGTTATGAAACATGGAAGTTGACTTAGTATTTCTCCCCAGTAGCTTTCCCAACAACTCAAAGTAGTCAATGTTTTGTTACCAAAAAATTCTACTGGAAAACAATTAATAATGATTTCTAGTGCATTAGGAGCTAAAAACGAAAAGGAGGTAGATTTGGAAGTTCTCTTACTGAATGTTTAAAACTTTTGTGAGACATGTGATGTTTACAAATTTTAGAAAATATAGAGAAGTAAGAAGAAAACAGATAAAATTACAAATTAAGCTAGTGACCATGGCAGTTAATAGTATCCTACATGAAGTGTGGGCCATTGGGAATTACCTGTACTAATAAAGAATTTTAAAATAAGAATTGTTTAAAATTCCCTCAGATTTGGAAGATACTTTGCAAACAACAAAATGGAAAAAAAACTCCACTATAATATCTGCTTTAATACACACAGTCCATTATTAATTTCTTAAAGATTTTTCAGGGCTCTGTATACATTGTCGGTGTTAAAAGCACAATTCAAGTATAGCTTTCATTACAACCAAGTAGCTTTGAAATAGTCCTTTAATATTCAAGGGTCCTCAGTGAATAACTAATACATTGACATTTTTCCTCTAGGATGAAACACCAAATAGTGATAACAGGAATTAAAATACATACTGATTATGTTTCCTGATACTTAGCACCAGGAATTAATTTGGTGTGTTATCCCCACACTTAAAATTAATTTCCAGACTGACACTCCCCATAATCCAGTGGCACCTTGTAGCTTGTGACCACCTGTTCCCAGGAAAGCCAAGTTTAATGTTTGGAATGATTGCCTGTGTGCTTCCATCAGCAGGAATCATGGGCTTAACCAACAAGATACAATCGTCCTTTTATTTAGTTTGATTTTTGGAAACAATGTGATGCCAAAAAGTTGTTTTCTTAACTTTCAGGATATTCATATTTTTTATATCTTACCAAGCTCACTGCCAGTTACTTTGTCCAATTTTTTGTAAAGAAAACAAAATCTTAAAATTTTCTTCCTGAAGAGAATGTTTTGATGCTTAAAGAGAATTGGAATGGTCAACTATTCAGTTATGCAGATATTTTTGCAGCAAAGCTATTAGGTTGAGCCATATGAAATTGCTGATCTTTTGACCTGCAAACATGTTCATTTCAAATGCTTCCACTAGTCTGACCGGGGACGAGTGGTGGTTTTGCAGTTGTTAGAAATTAAAAACTTTCTGGGTTCTACGTGGATACAGGGCATGAGAACAGAAAACTAAACAGACTATTATTTGTCCATAAATCAAAAGCACATATGTAATTAACCATGCAATAAAAAATGTGAACAGCTGGTAAGGTGTAGGAAAATCTCCTTACTTTGACTGTGGATGGTGGAGTCAGCTTACCTACCACCTGCGTCCTCTGGCTTCCCCTCCAGTCCTTGTATTGGGACCATAGATACTAATGCTTCCCCAAATACTTACTTACATGATGATATTATTTATTTTTGTTGTTATTAATTGAACATTCCCTAAGTTTCCCAGAGGCACTCACGGTGGCTTTTATGTCCATATCCCCAACACACAGGGCCTGGAAAATAGAGATGTGCAGTAAGTGTTTGTTGAATGAATGGATGGTCTGCAGTCGTTGGCAGAGCACTTTCCCAAGCATTATCCCATTTTTTAATTTCAAGAGCACGTTGTGTCATACCTTCATCTTGGCTTTGATTCAGTATTTTGTTTTGTTTTTTTCCCCTGAATTTGTGTTATCAACAAGGAAATGACTAATAATAACCATAAAAGGAATTTCTGAAACATTCAGTAAAAAAAATTCGGAGAAGTGGAAACCTAAATCTTGTCAGGGAGGTGGTTTTTGTTTTGTTTTTAATGAAGGCAGGTGGCTCTTGCTTGTGTAAGTTTGCATTTAAGCATTGCATAGTGGCTAAATTGGAAAGAGCAGTGAACTGCTTAATTGCATTGAAAATGTGATCTCATGCCTGCCCTCATGACTGTGGTTTTGGGCTTGCCTGCTTTGTTGTCTGTGGTCATCTAGATGAACAGTGGTCTCTGGCCCACAGACGACCTCATTAAATACATGACAGTGTCTGTAAGTGTTCAGATAAGCCATTTGATTTCCCTGTTAGGTATTTACAAATTTACCTCTTGAGCTGCAATAAAGACTATTACTTCTCTGTACGTTATTCAAAATAATATTAAAGGTGATTGTATTTGTTTTCTAGGACTAGTGACACAGTGGTTCTTTCCCATAAGGAGCACCTTCCAGTCATGCAGGTTGTGATGACAGACACAGGCCGACCACACTCTGAAGCTGCTTTCACCCTGGGGCCTCTGCTCTGCCAGGGGGACAGTAAGTAGTGGCAGGAGGAACCGTCTTGACCCCTGATAATATGTGTCAGTGTTTATGAGAAATTTAGCTGCATGGGTTCATAAAAACAATATCTATCCTGATAAGCTATATTTCATTAGGAATTCATTAACTTGTAAAATAAGTACATACTGCAATTGAGAAAAATTATGTGCCTTATATAGTATCTAAATCAGACTACTTCCATGAAGACTCATGGAATCTGAAAGAATATCTCACTTCAGCAAACATCTGATATATACCTACCCATATAAGGCAGTTTGCTGAGTGCTGAGATAATGAGAGCACAGGAGGGCAGAGCATCTCAGTGTGTCTGTCCCTTAATGCCTTCTGAAAGTTGGAAACATTTACACAGAAACCACCCTGCTCCTAACACCACTCATTCCCCAACTGCATCCAGTTCTTCTCAGGCTTCGTCCGAATTGACCTTCAGCACCTTTGGACTCTGCTCACGACTGACTCATCTTTGACTCACTTTTTGTCTGCCTGGTGCCCAGCATACCAGAGAATTCTGGTTTCCTCCTTCCCTTGTCTTTCCTAATGTTCCTTCATCTCACCAGTGGGATAACGCTGGAGTGCCCCAAGCCTCTGTCCTCGGGTCTACCCCCTCTCTATCAGTGATTTTTTCCCATTAGGCTCGTGGCTTAAATACATCACTGATGCAGTAAACCCTGTGTCTGCACCTCAGCCCCATCTCCCTGAAGTCCCAACTCCTTGCATTTCAGTAGGCATTCAAACTCAACTTGTCAAAAAAAGGAAAAAAGAAAAAGAAAACATTTCCGTAACAACCTTGCTCAACTCTGCATGGTAACTCTGTTCTTGCTGAAGACATTACAGCTACTTATAATTTCTATTTTCCTCCCTTAACCTACATCTAATTCATTGGCAAACTGCATTGCTTCTAACTTCAAAAATGGATCTAGAATCCACCTCCATTACCACCTGTGCCTGGATTGTATCTGGATTGTTGCAGTGGCCCTATAACTAGTCTGCCTGCTACTGCCTCTTCCCCCCGAGCCAGTACTCCACACAGCAGCCAGAGGGAGTGAATCTGGCACATCAGCCCTCAGCCCCATGCTCCCTAGTGGCATTCATCTTAGAGGCCAAAGTCTGAGAGCACTGACGCTGTGGTGACCGTGTCAGTCTCTGAACCTGGCAGGACCTCAGCGGGGCCTGTGGAGCCGCAACCCTCCATGGGGCCCCACAGGGGGTGTTGCCATGTGAGGAATTCCTGGCGTTTCTGAACTTTACTATTGAAAAAAGTAAGAGATTCCTATTTCAGGTAATAAAAACACTGAGATGTGAATAGCCAAAAACAAGGGAGCACATTAACACACCTTGACTGACAATAGTGTGAAGAATTTTTTCTCACGCATGACATAAAAATGCAGACCACAGCTCAGTTTCCAGATGGGATGACGTAGGCACACCCTACTCCACCTTTCCCACTGAATCTACCTGGGAAATCTCGGCAGCACGCATGAAGCCCTTATCACAGGACTCTAGGAAGCAAACAGTAGCAGGGGAGAGAAACTGGAGTTTTACCATTTGTTTTCTCCTTTAGCATCTCAGCCAACACAGATACGGGCACTGGGTCCCAAACAGAAAGTGCTCCCAGAGAAGCCCTCTAGTTCTGGCAGGAGGAGATGACAGGGAACTCCTAGCTGTCAGGAGTGCAGGAATCTCATCTTCTCCCTTTTTCTGTTTTCTGAGTCCCTAGTAGCCAGGCAGTCCCATGGTAGTAGTAACAGAGGCTGCCTTGGGTGACCACAAGAGCCAGAACTACAAGGGGAAGGGCCTTCTGCATTGAACCCAGCAGCTGTGGCTCCAAACAGTGGGCAGCCTCATGATGCCTTTCTTTCTCTGTTCTCCTATCACTTGCAATGGACATGGGTATAGTTGCAGAAGTGCAGAGGAGAACACAACAGAGCAGGCCAAATACAGCCTCAGTATAAAATTGGAAAGGGAGTATCAGGAAACCAGAGAGTATCTGGAAGAGCAAAGAGAGGGAATTGTTCAGGAAAGCAAAGCTATAAACTGTTCATGAAGTCCCATACTCACCTCAGAGGCACACATGTATGGGTCTGATCCTAATTATAGAGAAGTTGAGAACTGACTTAAGAGGCTACTAGCCAGGACCCAGACTGGCCACTGGGTGATGCATAAGTGAAGCAGATCTTCACAGGACTGTAAATACTTTGGAAAGTAGACTGGCATTAGAGCCATGGCCAACAAAAGGCAGGCTGGACTGTGTGGCCAGATCCTAGCCAAGCCAACTGCCTGCCAAAAAGAAAAATATCAATATGCTTTATAGAATTTAAGCAAAGTTCAGAGTTTGTTAACATAGTATTTAAAATATCTAGGAAATAATCTAAAACTACTTAGCATACAAAGAACCAAAAAACTCTATGCCACAGGAAGAGATAATCAATAGATACTAATGTCAATATGACACATAAGTTAGAATTATCTGCCAAAGACATTAAAACAGCTACCACACAAAACTCAAACAAATAAAATCATAAACCCTTTTGAAACAAATAGAAAAAATGAACATCTTGAGGTTGAGCCAACATGGCGGCGTGAGTAGGACAGTGGGAATCTCCTCCCAAAAACATATATATTTTTGAAAATACAACAAATACAACTAATCCTAAAAGAAAGACCAGAAGACACAGGACAACAGCCTGACTACATCAACACATGTGAGAGCCCAGCGCCTGGTGAAAGGGGTAAGATACAAGCCCCAGCCGGCGGGACCCCAGCACACCTCCCCCCAGCTCCCGGCGGGAGGGAGAGGGAGCCCAGGACTG